TATCAACTGCCTAAATAAATCTCGGAAAGATCAGTACTTCAATTAGGTGTTATCATCAACCTCATCCAACGGCAGTACTAAGAAAGATGCTCTTTTAACGGGGTCGGTTTTCACAGAGAAAAGTTTTAAATGTGGCAAGCACCTTATTGATTAGCTGCCACATATTGTGTAAGTAGAAGTTTATTTTGCTGCAATATCTATACCCAAGCTCAGACCCTTGACGACAATATTCGTATCTAAGTTCATGCAAGAATGTCGTGGATCCCTTCAACTTCTTCGAAAGCTTCGCGAAAATAACTTTGTTGTAAAACTAAAAGTACAGTAACGGTGAACTTAAGTAAAATAAGTTAAACTTATTTTTCACAAAGATTCAATTGTTAGCAACACAAGAAGTTATGGATAAGTTTGGTAAGGAAACAAAAACGATTAAATCCCATGAATTTGTTTGTTCATGAATTTTAAGAGAATAAGAGTATCTCTATAGCATTTTTTTGTTCCTAGCTAACACTTAGAGTATCTAAGCTGTGGACTAAAATAATTTGTTCACCTGACTTTATAATATCCCAATCGTCTAATTATTCAATTGTAAATAGGTACTTTGTAATTTGTTTTACAATTTTTAAGCAATTTGGATATTCATACCAGTTCACTGTATGGGGTTCTGAAAACATTGCCATGCCAATGGATTGCCCGTCTACATCGTACTGGCATGCCAGCACTAGCATGAAAAGTATACTGGCATTTCAGTTACTGCCATTAACTTTGTACTGGAATGAGTTCATCCCACTTCCAGTTTATATTACGCCAGTAACTGGACTGGTTCGCTGGATTGGCTTGCTACTGGCATCATGTAAACGGGCTATTATTATGTTTGACTTTTGTTATATGAAAGAAAATAATGGCACCGTCGGCAAAAAAATATCAAAAATCACCACGAATACTTAGCCTCTTGAAACTTGCACTTTATTATTCTAGAATTTGTTATTGTGAAATTTGTTTAATTTTTCTACAAAGTGATGCATATGGTGTGTATTATATAATTAACTAGATTTTGATACAAAATTAATAAGCATCAAACAAACAAAAGAATAGTCAAAACTGATCGAAATGCCGTGTACCTATTTCACATGACATGCATTTTTATAACGTGTTTCCACGAACAATTCGCTGTAAGCTTGCATCATCTTATATCAACTTTATACTACTTTTGTGCATTAAAAAATAGCGAAAAGAAAGTGTTTTTTTTTATAAGGGTGGAGTTTTGGAAAACAAACAGCAGTATCAATTTTGGCAATCCAAAAAAGGTATAACACTGCAAAACAAGCATAAATAAGACCGTTATGTACGCTGCAAGTAGATCGTTTGCAACACGAAATCTGCTTAAATGCTCATTTATTTTTAAATTTTTTTTCTTTTATTTCGTTTTTTGCTTTTGTTTTTGAAAGCACTCTCCACTTTGCTGCAACAATTTGTCGTACATTATCTTTGAGCGCACGAAAAATTTTTGTTTATCATCGAAAGTTGCCTGCCACACAATTCCACCTCTGCACTGCCTACTTGCGTATCGCGCAGAGGCTTGGTTGCTGCCTACCCAGATTGCTACTCATTATTCATTTTGACAATATTATTGATAATGATGTCGATCGGTGAATGGCGTGAGTAAAATATTGAAAACAATTATAGTAAGATTGATTTTTTATACCCGAGCGCACTTGTGCACAAGGGTATTATAACTTTGTTCACATAACGGTTGTTTGTAACAGGCAAAACGAATCGAGATAGATATAGACAAATGTATACATAAATGATCAGAATGAAAAGAGAAATCGATTAAGCGGTGACTGTCTGACCGTCCGTCCGTCCGTCCGTCCGTCCGTCCGTCCGTCCGTCCGTCTGTGCACACGATAACTCGAGTAAAAATTGAGATATCTTAACGAAACTTGGTACGTGAACTTCTTTTGGGCGTGGGACGGATGGTATTGAAAATGGGCGAAATCGGATAATAACCACGCCTACCTTCCATATAACGGTAATTTTAAGAAATACGAAAACTGCGATATTTTAGTAACTACTGAAGATAATTCACTCAAAATTGATACTTACAATGAGTTTCAGACGTAAAACATGAATATTATAAATTTTTGGAAAATGGGCGTAGCCACGCCCACTTATGGTTACATGTGTATATCTTGGTAACCGCTGCACCAATTTCTTCCAAACTTGGCACAGTTGTTGGCCTTAGTACAGCTTACTAAATGGCTGAAAATTTAAAAAATCGGACAATAACCACGCCTACCTCCCATATAACGGTAATTTTCAGAAAAACGAAAACTGCGATATTTTCGTAACTACTGAAGATAATTCACTCAAAATTGATATTTGCAATGAGTTTTAGACGAAAAATAAGAATATTACAAAATTTTGGCAAATGGGCGTAGCCACGCCCACTTATGGTTACATGTGTATATCTTGGTAACCGCTACACCAATTTCTTCCAAACTTGGCACAGTTATTGGTCCTGGTACAGCATACCAACTGGCCGAAAATTTCTAAAATCGGACAATAACCACGCCCACATCCCATATAACGGTAATTTCGAGAAATACAAAATCTTCGATAAATCAATAAATATTGAAGCTAATTTATTCAAAATTGATGATTGCAACAATTCTTTACCAAGAAATACGTTTATGACAAAATTTTGGAAAATGGGCGTAGCACCGCCCACTTGTGATCACATATATGTATCTCGCTAACCGTTCTAGCAATTTGTACCAAGCTCGGTATGGTTATTGTGCTTGCCACATAAAAGCAAACCGTTGAAAATTGTTGAAATCGGACTAAAATTGAGGCCGCTTTTCATATAACGGTAAATTTCAGATATGCTTGAAACTGCAATATTTCGAAATTTAAGGACGCTAATTTACTTAAAATGTATACACCCCGGCTTATCATGTAGCGGTAGCTTTCGGAAAGGTGGAAAACATATATTTAATACTTGCGCCGGGTATTTAATGTTCGGCTCCGCCCGAACTTAGACTTTCTTACTTGTTTTTGTTTTGCTTGCGCCAATGATTTGCAGGATGTGACGACAAAATACACCCATCACATTTACAGTTGTGGCACAGTTTTCAGAAGGGTTTCGCTGCCAGTAGTTAACGTGCGCATTGCCGGTCGCCTTCATCTGTTTGTTGGTTGGTGTTGTTTCCACTTGAAATCACCTTGTCATTTTTATTTAAATTGAGTTATCACTGGAGTATCAGTAGCACAAAATTCACTCAGTTTTGCACACGACGACACAGCTAGCAAAGTTAGAGCTTTTGACTGGAGCCTCCTGGCCCGGCTCATTTGTCATGCCGTGCATTGCAAATATCCATCTATGCAAACAAGCATGCAGCTTCATTCATCGAAGCTAAGAAGGAGCAAGCGATCGCGGTACTCGAACGCATCTCAATTTCATTGCGAATCAGTTTCACTACACTTGACTTGGTCGATAAATGAATGCAGGGATGGCTGGTTGACTGGCTGGCTGGTTGACTGGTCGACTGACTGTCTGCTTGGTTCTTCTCTTGTTGGTCTTGCTTCCATTGATTTTATGTACATATAGAACAAATTGAAGAGTTTCTTCCGCTGCATGGATCATGTGTTTGTTTTTTTTTCGGCCGCGCTATGTAGATATTGCTTATTATTATTTTAATTTTTTTGTCTTCTGATTTCGACTTCATTCTTCCCCAGAAATGCATTACAATGCAAGCATGATTTTCAAAATTTTTTCACTTCAATAAAACTCAATAAAATTTCGTTTGTAAGGTGAGGTTTGTTCTTATTTTTTCATATTTGTTGTGTTTGCCTTTTATCTGTTGTTGTTGTTTAGTTGTGTATTTGTATTTGTGATTGTTCTGGTGTCTGGAATGTGGTGATGTCAAATCAGTTTTGGTTCAATATTTGTGTTAATGTGTCTTTCTTTCTTCATAACTTTTCAAACGGTTCATTGTGGCGGCGATGCGGTGTGTGTCGATGCGAGCACAGCCAATTTGTATATAATTTTACGGGTTAATGCACCTGATTGCTTGTTGTATGACGAAAGGAAATTGTGGGATATCTAAATTATTTAATCTTGAGAATGATATGCATTTTTTGTGAAAGTTGAGAGGGAGTGTGCGGCACGACCGAAACGTTAAATAAATAAAAAAAGGTGGCTAATTTTTAACTAGGTATGCATTTTTAGAATTTGTAAGGCATTAATGGACATTTTCGGCTTTGAGATGGTGTCAAGTTGGGGAGTTCGTAATCTGGTTTAGGTTTGATTATGAAATTTGAAGAAAGCAGAAATACACACACAATTTTCTTTCGATATGATGAATACTTCTAATGCAATGCTTTGGGCTGAGTAATATGAACGCGGGGGTAAAGTCTAGGTATGAAGAAAAATTTAGAGTAAGAATTAAATATCAAATGTATTTCAGTAGGAAGTGCTTATTTAATATTGTGTTCTATTGCATCGGCTTTTAGTTTCTGGTTTTGTAGTCAATTTTCCATATACGAAAAATACTAGAGATCAATACCGTGACCACGTCCCTAAGAAGTAGGTTGCCAAGGCTGAGATTACTGCACAGAGGTCTTGCATATTATAAGGCTAAAATAAATGCCGTTCTCGTAGTTTTGTTCTCAAAAACGATTCAAAATTATAACCGAAATAAAACAAAACGGGAACAAAAGTCTGAGGAACTTTCTCTCGAAAAACAATTTGGGAAATAATATCTGAGGTACTTTCTGACACAGAACGAAACGGGAACAAATTTCTCTGAACTATTCGCGAAAAATGGAAACGAGAAAAAAATCTTTGTCATATCGTCATATCTTTCGATTAGTTTTAAATGTTTGAATATTAAAATTAATCAAAAAGGAACTGAAAGATAATGGTGTGAATAGTGTCAACGAAAGACTTAAGACACGAACTTGTTTTTTTTTTTGGCTTGATACTGGATATCTTGCATAGTTGGATTCGTTGCTTTGAATGTGTGTTACACAAAGGTTATTTCGGCTACCGTTTAAAAAATGGCAAGTCCGTGGCTCCGATAAGAGCATAGTCGATCAACGAAAAGCAGCCGTCCAAGACGTCAGGTCGTCAGGGTTGAAAAGGCATTAATGGTAGAAATCCCAATGCAAGGTTCGGGAAACACTAATAGTGGTAATACGGCTCGGAGGTTTTTTTAAAATTGTCGAATGTCTGCTCAAATAACCGGAGTAAGCCGCGAATTAATAAAAATACTTCGCCTAATTTTTGCGCTGTATGGTCTCTGGATATTCCATAAACACCGACAGCTTTCGCGAATAAGCATTGGATACCACAAAGTACACAATATATTGATTCAGGGAGTGGATGTTATTGAAAGTGTACCACTACCGAGAGACATGAGGTCGGAAGAAGCCTTGGAAGCCAGAAATAAATATTTGCGAAATTTTCGGCTTAAACATACTGGCAAAAATTCGCGCTTAAATGCAATGGAGGGTTTGATGAACTTGTTATTAGCATCCTCGGGTTCAGCCATAACAAGTTT